TGAGCCTGTCTCATTGTTTGTCTCACCACCATTTCCCAAACAGACATGGCTCTTCTGTAGCAAAACCCCCAGTTTTTTTTTTATTGCATTCACTCCCCTTCCCCAACCATTTCTGACTTTTTCTCTCCCTTTCTATTACTTATAGATAAGTATAAGTAAGCTAAGATGTAGGATAAGCTTTAAACATTTTTATTTAGGTGGCAAGTTTTTGGTTTTGGACACTCACTGTTTTAACTCCAGCAACTTTTTAAAAAGAGAAAAGAAGGAATGACAATAAATACAGCAGAAAAAGTATTAAATAGAAGGCTGCACAAATTACGGGCGTGGCATTTGTTTCAGATGTTACATTTAGCTAAAAGAGCAGGTATAACTATTGTGATACATAAATTGCTTCTCAAGTAAAGAACATGATCTTAAGGAACCACGCACTTATAGGAAAATTTATGCTTTATAAACTTGTAGGGAGACCTAGGTGATGAAAATACTGAGTTTTTCTGGATATATACTTATTAGTTTATATCGTCAAAAATAAGTTTTTACTACTAAGCACAACCTTCACAGTTAGCTCTATAATGATTGGAAGGTAAAGCTTCTTAAACCAAAAAAGAAATTGAATAATGTTTTGTGGGGTTTTTTGTATTGTTTTTGCTTTTTTTAATTCTCCAGAATAACTCATTAGTTAAGCCCACATGGTTAACTATCTTTTAAAGCAGGCTGCAATTCCATGATCCTGTAAAGGCTTATGCACTGATTTCAGTGGAACTATTTCTAATGCTGAAATGAAGTATAGCCATGAGCCTTTGCAAGATTGGGGCTGAAGTGCTGCTTAGGACCACATATTATGGGAAAAGTCACTTCTACTCTATGCTGACACACAATGAGCCTCACTAATTGTTCCTATTACAATGTAAAATTCTGCACAGTTAATTTTATAAACTCAAAAATTAATTTCTGCAGCTGATGGCCACATTATATTCTCTTTCTCTTTCTCTCCCCTTTTATCTTAGTTATGGATGTACAGGCATTTGAAAGGCTTTTGGGACCTTGTATGGAAATTATGAAAAGAAACATTGCAAACTATGAGGAGCAGCTAGTTGCTCTATTTGGAACAAACATGGACATTGCTGATCCCAGTGCATGAACTAAAGTGTGGACCAACAAGATCTGTTGTGAGAAAATAGCACAGTAGTGGTTAGTCCACTGATAAAGTCTCTCTTCCTGTAGATGCCAAGCATTTTCTGTAACTTTAGGGTTGGGAATTTTTTTTGTTTTGTCACACTACAATGGATAGATTGGCAAGCAAAATAGGGATTTATTAACCTCTGGGCCTGATTTCCAGGATGGCTTAGCACTAGCTGTTCAGTTTGAATTGAGAGGAGCTGTAGCAATACAGCACCTTGGAAAATCAGGTCCTTTAACACAGATTTAAGAAATCCACATGTGGTGAATTTATTAAACCAGCTTTTCATCTACAGAATGGTTAAGATTTTTTTGGAAGACTGTTGGTTTGATTGTGATATGTTGAAAGTATTAGTGCACACACAACGTTCAAAGTATTCATAATATAGAAGATACACAGTGGATGTTCATGTCTGCTTATTAAAACTGTCATGATACTATGCTGTATTTATGACAGATGTATAGAAAAGGAATACCACAAACCTACTCATACAATAAAGCATGACAGTACATTTTATGTAAAGTTCATGACCTGTCTGATTTTAACATTTTTTTGATTTGTTAAAAGTCCTCTTTTTTAATATGCCGCATTTCAGTAAGCCTGTTAGGAAGGTATTGTAATATCTTATGCAATTTAGAGGACTTGTATATTTTTACAATAAATTGCATTTTTTATTTGCTATACACACACACACAAACACACACACACACCCTCTCTCCACTTTTGAGGAAGCTCATAAGTTAATTGTGATGCAAGTATATTCTTTAAAAGCAAAAGCCAAAAGATTTTGCCTAGGCATAGGTAATTATCACTCTCTACTTAATCATGCATATATAACAAGCATTGGTTTCCTTCCAATTTCTTGTTTTATATTTTATGCATTTTGTCTTTCCCCCATGTGTTTTGTACTCTAGTCTTGATCTACCTTTTGGGACCTCACTTTTATTTTTCTCTGTCAAATCTTTCCCCTGTTTCAAATCAAGTGATTTCTGCACATCTCTCTTCTTAGATTTAGACATAGTAGGTATGACAGATAAAGTGAATTGATGTTGAAAGCTTTGCTAAACTGAGCACGCCCTTGGAAATCCTTACTAGCAAAAACAAAAAAGGATTTGAATCTGAAAGATCAGTAATTGGAAAGACTGCTTTATACATGTTTGGAAAGCAGGTTGTTAAAACTGACAAATTCTGCGTTTGTCTATGAAAACCAAAAATACTATTATTTCAGCAGTAGTAGCATGGAGTAACTGTTTGCTCTGGCTGAGACTGAGGAGAGAGATTATCATTTTAATTAAAACAGGATATGCAGCTAATTGCTCACTAATAAAAGTCTGACTGGAACTATCAGACAGTCCTGTTTTGCTGTTACATACTGTCCCGTCTTTTGCTCTACATGGAAAGTTAGCACTCAGAAAAACAAGTTGAAGCAGTTTCGCCAAGACAGAACCTGAAGAATTTTGGCAAGGTTGCTTGTATCCTGTTTTCAGCAAATGAGTAACAACATTTTTCCTTCTCAGACAAAGACTCTTCTCATATGATGTATTTGTGTATGTTGATGTAATAATATATCCTGCAGTTAGAGTGAACTATTACAACAGTTTATACAATAATTTTTGAAAATGAAACTATGATTATATAATGCTATTACCAATACATTATTTATATCATACACTATGGTATAAATTATCAATGAACATTGTTAACAAAAATACAATCTAAGCAAATTTACAAAGGTCAGGGTTTTTTTTACATTGAACCCTTGTATTAATAGTTACACATACCACGTAATTTGCCTTTATATTTTTTATTTATGAAGGAGGGGAAAGCAGCCAATTAGAAGGAAACATCAGGTTATCCAAATTGCCCAAAATACTACATTATTCTGTAGGCAGACAAGGTTCTTCGGGTGAATCTGATA